GATTCTCAGATTCTCAGAGGGAAAGATACATATTTCAACAGTTTACTCAAGCTTCATTTCGGAACATCTATGTGAGGCTGCAACAACAATTAAAGCAAAATTAGGTTTAGGGAGGCATTATGCATTCATGATGACCTATGCTGCCTTGTGAGATGAGACAGTGTTTATTAAAACAGCAGTGTTTATTAAAAAGGAACACTGAGAGTTCCTATGGAATGAATAGTGGTAATCACCAAAAAAGTAAAGAAAATACTAGTCAGAAAACAGGCTTCTAAATGGCCATTGTTTGTTTAGATGCTAAAAGCAAGCTTTGGTGATATACACTCACAAACTCATCATGCTTAAGTTAAATGATTCACCATTTGATCAAATGTTTAATTTTAGCAAACAAAATTGAGGGAAGAGCCAGATTGGCATGGCAAGGATCTGATGATACATAAGTGACTGGAAAATCCAGACTCAGAAATAAACACTGAATTGGGCCTGCACAGAATGCTTGGGGTATATTGTGTCATAACACATATGATGCATGCAGTGTCAAAAAAGGCAGACCAAATGGCAACATCCTGCAAAAGCCCTGCTGGCATGTTCTCAAATAATATTGCTATCAGTTTTAGCTGACTACAGTACCTTATAGTTGCCAGAACTAAGATGAGATGAAACTAATCATACTGTGTTTTCAATCAACTTCCTGCTGACTGCCACCATTTCAAGAATGTAATTCATTTTTTTTTTATGTCTATTAACATATTTCCTTATTTTCTGGTTCTAAGGCACTAAATGCAATAGTATGGTATCAATCTGAACAATAAAAAAGTAGTAGGCACTACAGTACAAATAGACCTGTAAAAGTATTACCCTCTCTGACATACACTTTTCACAGTATATGCTACCAGCAGCTTACAAGTCCCTACTATGCATATAAGCAACAGTAGTATCCCCAGCCCTCTGATGGTTTCACTCACAAATGAAACCATCATAGAGATCTTTTGAAGTCAAAGGTGAATTACCAACATGTAAATCATTAAAGAATCAGCCTCATCTCTAATAAGGAAAAAGGCTTAACTGGAATATAATACATCAAATAATATTTCCATGTATTTATAAAATCTTCAACCTTGAGTTCATATATACCATAAGGTAAAGGCTTCTGAAGTCCAGTAATCTAAGAAAAAATAAACGTTATATGATTCTATGATTATCTGATCTGTTAACCAGGAAAACATAAGGAAGCATTTTTCCAGGTCATAAGAATCAGAAGTTAAATACAGCATATTTTATATTAAGAAATCTAAAATAACTTGCATACTGAAACCCTTTCCAATCTTTGTACACTAAGACTATTCCAATAAATAGTGAGATAGTTGCTAATGACTGAAGTTGAAGATATAAAAATAGGGAGAAAGTGTTTGGAAATAATTTGCTCCCCTAAACTGTACAAATTTTTCATAAATAACATGAATACTGATGAGGTTTCCCAATTGATATTATCTGGGTAAGTGAAATGATTATGTAAAATATAAAGATCATCTCAGTGCTCCATTTAAACTTTACTCAAGCAGAAACGACAGACTGAAGATTCTAAAAAGGTGGTTGAGTCTGCAGATTTAAAGACTGATTCCATGATCTTCAACAAAAGGCAAGAAAACGTTAGTTGTTGACCTTAAGCAGATGTATCAGAAGTTCTTAACAGCCTAATTCAAAAGTATCTTCTTTCAGCTGTTCATTTTTCAGTCTCTTAGATCTTGAAACATCAAGAGTTTAGTAGTTTTCCAGTCTCTAGAGATTGCCAAAACCTAGAGGATCTGAATTTCTAATATAAGCCCAAATCTTCTAAAAGAACCCCTCCAACTTCCATGCAATAATACATACTAGCCTGCTCCTGCAATCTCTTTGCATGCCATCACTATCAACATGTGACTCTGGAGCTACTTCTATCCCTGTTCAACCAATGGGCAAGCTTTAGCACAGCAACCCACAGCTTACTTCATTTTTAATACTTCTTTCAGTCTTTTCTTTAATGTTTCCTGTCATTGTGGCTTATTGTAGAAAACATGTATCTTATTACAAACAGTCCTTTACGCATTACATAAAATAAAATCTAAAAGACAAAGGCATCATCTTTTATACTTGGTAAAATCTAGACCTTATTGTTTGACCCCTGTACACAAAATTGCTCTGCTGCTTACCTGGCTTGGGCTCACACAAGAAGAACTGTGAAAGGGTTCTAAACCATTGCACTGACAAGACCCGAAAACATAAAGCAATACTGTTCCTCTACAGTACTTTATTTACAAATTCAATGGAAACCACTACATCAAGTTACAAGTTTCATAACTTTTCATAGCTTTAAATGTCCTGGCCTTGTTTTTCCAAAATGTGGCTTAACAGACAGATGAAAGTCACAGCTTTCTTAAAGTATGTCTTAAAACATGTCATAACCCTAGCTGGAGCAAGGGTTGCTCTAGGAACCTTAGGTGAACTCTAGAGCAGCAGAATTTCAACTTCACACAAATATAAGTCTTTCTGCTATCCCGACTTACTTTCTTCAGAAAGTTGGCATAAAACTGCAACCCATTATGAACTCCTGACAATGCAACTTCAATAGAAAAGTGTATCTGCACTGATTTACCAGAAAATCCGTTCAAGCACTAGCAAGGCCTAGGTAAATAAGGTCATGTAGTCACTTAAGCTTCTTCAGGACTGAAAAGTACAGCAATCAACTCTGGAAATTGACAGCACCATTTTTTAAAGTAGAAAAATAGATACTTATTTTGCCACTGTGTATTGAAATGCACCTGGCAGACACTTAAAGAGACTGAAAAAGAGACTAATTCATTCACTGTATTAATGGAAAAAGTGAGGGGTTTGCTCCACACTGCTGTCTTTCACGATTATCATACAAAAACACCCCTGCATGGATGGCACTCTGAAGCAAAAAAAAGGGAGAGGGCAAAAAAAATACCACTTGATATCTGCTTGTGCAAGAGAAACATGTTTAAAGAAAAACAGCTTTCTTGAGAGCCTCCTGTAACCATTAAGCAGATCCTTGAACACAAAGCACCAGATTTTCTTCTCATTATCAAAACATGCTGAACTAGCCAATAAGTCGACCCCAGAGAAAAAGCTCACTTTCAACTTTCTATGATTCTCCCATAATTATCACGTTACAGACATCAGTGCCCTTCATTAGAGATAGCAAAAACTTGTTCTCCACTGCTTCACAGAAAATATCAGATCCAAATATGGGAGCTTAACAAAACAAAACAAAACAATTTACTATGTACTTATAATCTGTCTTGAAAGATCACTCCCAACTGGGCCATGGCATTTGTTGCAATTCAGGCTTCTGTCATAACTAAAACATGGGATTTTGTTTAAAATCCTGCCACTTCAGTGAACCAACCAGATGTACAGTCATATCACTAAATCACTCTTATTGAATCTTTTTTCTCTCAGCCTCCACTTCCCCAGAGTACCTTAAATTGCATGACATAAATCCCAAGAAGGTACAATCACAGACAAGTGTAAATCTCAGATGGGCCCTCAAAAGTCTATTTAGTCACATACTCTATGAATTTTCCATAAATAAGAACATTAGGGACTAATGTTGCTGTGATAGACACTAAACACATTTTATGACTATGTGTATCTGCTAGAATACCATCTCCCACGGTACAACTGATTTAAAAAGAAAAAATCAGTAACAAAAACATCTTCAACAGACACGACCCTAGAGATGGTAGTTTAGGAAAGAACAGATTTACCCTTTTTTTTTTCACCTTTGGCAAACAGGAATGACCCCTACTTCCTTCTTCCTAAAAGGGTATCAGCAAACAGCTAACAGGGGCCTTATCTATTATGAACCACTTCACTTTCATAAGGTGGAGAAAGAAGTATGTTTTTGTCCCTAGCTTTTTTCTCTCATCAGTTATTTTGCCCTGCGTGAATTGCAGCGACAGCTCCCCGTTCCCGGGCACGGGGCAGGGATGTTTCAGGGACACCCGTCAGGGCACCCAGGGGCCCGCATTACTCATCTGCGCCGTTGAGGAGCTAAAGGCAGGCCCCGGAGCGCAGCCCCAGAGGAGGGGCGGCCTCTCCAGGAAACCTGCGTGCCTGGGGAAGCGGTCAGGCCTCCCCCGCAGGGCTGCCGGGAAGGCCGCGGTGTCCGGGCGGCGGGGGGGTCGCGGGCGGCTTCAGCACCCCCTCCCCCTCCGCGCCCGGGGGCAGCGCAGCCGCCTCCCCGCGGGGCACCCGCCGCCTCTGCGCCTGCGGCCGCAGCCGACACCGCGGTCCGGGCCCCGGGAGCCCACAGGCAAGGAGACATCCCTCTTCCGAAGAGGGGGAACCCCGCGGCCCGCCCGGCAGGGGCCCGAGGCTGACCCCTCCCCGCGGCGAGCTGCGGGCTCGGCCCCCGCGACCGCCAGCGTCGGGGGTTACGACCTGGCCCGTTTCCCCCGCACGCCCGCCCGCGGCCCCCCGCCGCCTAGCCCTTCTCCAGGCCGCCCGCCCCCCTCCGTCCCGCCCCAGCCCAGCCCCAGGCCCGGCTCACCCCCAGAAGCCGCAGGGGCAGCGCGGGGGCAGGCTGGGCGCCTTGCTGCGCTCGCTGCCGGCGTCTCCCATGGTGGGGCCGGGGCGCGGAGCGGCGGCGGGCGGGGGGCGCGCGGCTCCCGGCTGGGATTCCAGGCCGGTCAGCTGGAGTCGGGCGGCACCACTGGGGAGGCGGCGGAGGGGAGGGCACGGGGGGGCCCGGCCGCACCCTGCCGATGGGACGGGCAGGGGAGAGGAGACGCGGCGGCACGGGGACGCGGAGCTCCGTGCGGCGGCGCCGCACGCCCACCGATGCCGGTGACCGCCCCGGCGGCACAGCGGCGCGCGCCTGCCCTCCCCAGAGCGCGCTCAGCCCCTCGCGCAACAATGCGTGCCCCCCTCCGGCACCGTGGTTCCCCCCGTCCTGAGCGCGATGGTTTCGTCAAGCCACCGAATCAGCTGGGAGCGGCATGTACCACAGCATATCCTCGGGGGAAGTTGGGGCGGATCGCGTGCGGGAATTGGGCGAGAAGCGAGTTTGGAGTGAGGCCCATATGCTCGAGAAGAGAACAGAATTCTTAATGACGAGTCCCAGGCGGGGCTGAGGCCCTCAGAGCTGCCTGGGGCCGCTGTCCTCTTTTGTCTCTACCCATACATTGGGCACACAGTGGTACAGCCAGGGACGGCCGGTGGCGGGGAGGCGGGGGGGGGTGCCGGTGCCGCTCGTACATGCGCAGACGGGCGCCCGACGCGGAAGTCTGTTGGAGGGAGCGGGTCCCGGGGGGCCGGAGCGGGCCGGGCCGGGCCGTCCTGTCCTGGGCTGCCGCTCCGGCTGTGCCGGGACCTGCTTCGCCCAGGGCGGGCTGTTGAATAGCTTTTACTTGCCTTGGTCCCTGCCAGCGCGGTGTGCCGGAGCCGGATCGGCTGTGCGCGCTCTGGAGCTCTCCCCGGAGACTGGGCGGCTCCGGGGGGCTCCGGTGCGGTGCAGGGTGAGGACAGGGACTTGTTCCCTTTGGGCTCCGCTTGGACGGAGGTCTAGAGAGCCCCGAGGACGACGTTTGGCCTTCTGTTTGCTTTCTTATCCCATAGATGTTCGTCCTCGGTTCCCTCAGCCCGAAATAAAGCCGTGTACGTGTTTGACGTACTCGGGGCTCTGCTCGCCTGTGGTAAACACCGCTAGCTGTGTGAGGACACGGAGCTGTGGGCTGCCTGCGCTGGGCCCGTTCTCTGGGACCTGCAAGAGGTAAGCTATAGCAGGGAGGGAAGAGCACGGTCATTTCTGGCTGCCGCCCTTTGACGGACAGGAAAGGAGAGGGGACCAGCACCTCAGCTTGAGGGGCTGAGTGATAGGGATTGTAGGATTGTACTTCTGGTACTTGTTTAGCCAGTAGCATTGAGTTAGTTACAGCCTTGCACTCTCTGTACCTTGGTTTTGTCTGTGAAATGGAGACAGTGCTGACCACCCCTGCAACCCCCCTCCCCCCCACCCCCGCCATAAATTTCAGATCTGAGTGGGAAATGTGTGGAAAAATACTGGTGGGACATTAATGAAGAATTTTGATCTATTCCTGACTGCTGTTGCCTGTCTTATACTTTGATTTTTGTAATCAAGCTTATTAAACTTTGAAAATAATAAACATTCTTAATAAAGTTCAGAGTATGTGAATCTTTGCGAACAACTAATTAATTCTGACAACAATATTATGGCTTTGGTATTAGGCTTCCTAAAGCATCTTCTATCAAATTAATTCATGACAGAAAAAAAACCCCAATAACAAAGCACATACACACACACGCTCAAAACTTTTTAATAAAAAGTTGGCACTTAAGTGGAATCATGTAAACAAGACTTCTTGTGAAAAGTCTGGTTCGTGACAGTTTACTAATGGGGATTTTTTCAAACCATTCTGGTCTGGGGTTGCCTGACTGCCAACTGATGAAACTCTCTGCCCTCTCTGAAGTGTCTGTGGCTGCAGACCACCCTGTGTACTGAACAGCACCCAGGCCTGTCCTTGGACAAAGCTCTCTGAGGATAAAGCTGACCTGCTGAGGCAACCAAGAAAAGCAAGTACGTGCAAAAAAAAAAAAAAAAAAGTAGCCTTGGCCTTGTTAACTCAGCCCTTTAAGCCATTAAATCAGCTGGAAACTGAAATGGTCTCTCTTGAGCTGGTTGTCTGCACTACTACCAGAGGCTGTAAACTCCCCTCAGATAAGGAGTGGCTTCTTAAAGATGATCTAATAGGCTTTATGTCAATAATTGCTATTAAGGTAAGCTCATACTGAGTTTCAACTATTACAGATGTTGTGCAGAACCAGTCTCTCTGCTCGGTACTTCTGCATCACTTCAAATAAATTTTGGCTTTCATCACCTGAAGGGAGCCTAGAAAAAAGATGGAGTCTATTTACATGGGCATGTAGGGACAAGGACAAGGGGCAATGGGTTTAAACTGACAGGGAGTAGATTTAAATTAGATAGTAGGAAAAAAATATTTAACTGTGAGAGTGGTGTGGTACTAGAGCAACTTGCCTGGAAAAACTGTGGATGCTCCATCCCTGAGAGTGTTCGAGGCCAGCTTGGATGGGGCTCTGAGCAGCTTGGTCTAGTGGAATGTGTCCCTGCCTGTGGCAGGGGGGTTGGAATTAGATGATCTCACTTTAAATCCATTCCAACCCAGGCCATTCTATAATTTTGTAAAGTGATGTTGGGATTATGTCAAAATTGCAGTTTTCCAAGTAGTTCAGATATTTAAAAACCCTGCAAAGGTGTGGTACTTCACTCCAAAGTTAAACACAAGAAAAGCATGAATTGAGGGACTACACAAAACAAACACTTATTAAGCATGCTGACAGTAAAGATACACAAACAGCTAACTCTGGCTGCCACTAATGCCCCTCGGAAGAATAATCTCAGGGACACACACATGATAGCCTTCGGGATTATAGCGCAGTTGAATACTGTGGGATCCAGAAGAGGGGGAATATGTGCTTTGATTTCATGCCTTGTAATAATGTATTTGGCCTTTTTTATTTTTAATATGATGTTTGCAACAATGGTTTTATATATTTGTGATATTTCCTACTTTGTCTAGAGAACAGAAAGTTACTAATGTATCAGTTCAGCATTGTTTCCTGAAAATTCAGTATGTACCTGCTTTTCTAAACTCTTTAATGTTTTGATTTGTGTCATGTGTCTGCTAATCACATCCAGCCATTTGCAACCACCAGAAAGTGTTTTTGTGTTGAAATGTGGCAGCAAGGGGAAGTACAGCTGAGCGAGCATATGCTTCTTTAGAGGCTGGCAAGGAGAAAATTGGTTCAGCTGATCTAAAATTAATGCTGTCATGAACAGGGCATTGCAACCTCCATTCAGATCTAACCTCCAACTGATCTCCTCTTGAGCCAGGCCTCTGGCCCCTGAAGAGTTTTAGTAGTGACATTTTCTCTGGCTTTTTTGATCCAGAGTCCAGGCCCTGGATGCTTTCTCAATAATGTACAAACATCCACAGACAAATGGATGAACAGCACTTAAGAAATGCATAGAGGGATAGGTAGCATATTACTTGGTTCCAGGGCTGGGAATGCAGGAAGTTATCAAATGGTCCAGATACAGCACAGCATGTTTCAGCCTTTGGAAGCAAATATGCGTTGTAAACATGCATTAGGTGGGGGAAGAAACCTCCTGAGTGATGGGAAGGTAATTTGGAGAAGAGTGATGCCTGGAATAGTGAGCAACAGTTTAAGTACATAACAAGAGAAACAGCTCGTACAATTTTAGTTCTGTGTATCTGAATGTATGAAAGAGATAGGGAAGGTGGTAATCCTTTTTAATAAGTGACCTTGCAGCTATTCTCCAGGCATATTTTTGCAGACAATTCAGAGAATACAGAGAAAAGCAGCCAAAATACAGGCTGCAGATACTGAAATACTTGAAAAGTCTAATGTTTACTCTCTGGCCATTTGGGGAGAGATTATAACTGTACATTCTTACTTAAAATTGTCACCAAAAATAGAAGGTATTTGCTAGCCAGACACACAGAATTTAGTAAAAAATAGAAACAGATGTCTCTAAGGAGATAAATGCTTAGGACATATGCAGAACATGTTCTCACGGTAAAGTCTGATTTTAACCTCTCGCTGAGGTTCATTTTTAGCTTATTCTCAGCAGGACCCCATTGCAGGATTAGATGAGGTAATAGACCTCACAGAATCAGGAGGGACAACTCCACCAAATTTAGAACCATCAATTAAATACCATTGTTTCTCAAGAGCTCCCTTTCTTTTTCTCACTATGCTAGAAAAGGCTGTACTGGTATATAATCAGAACATTTGGGGGTGGTTTATTTTACTATAAGCATGATTGCCTGACTGAAATACATGTGCACAACCATAAAGTGGAGCAGGTGGAGAATGTCACAAGTATTGTACATCTTCCTTCTCATCTTGAGATTTAAATTACTGTGTAATGATAAAAGTGACTCGTGATGCCAGTCTGTTTGAGAGACTCTTGAACTGATTGAAATAATCACTACTTTTTAATTCCTCTTGAGTAGGCAGATATTCTTAGTGAACTTTTTTCTCCAAGATCATTCTTGTTAAAACTTTTACTGAGGCTGCGAAATACAATGAGCATGTGGGAAAGGGCAGTTGAGAGGACATGTCTGAGCTCTAGCCATAACAAACAATAAAAGTGAACAATTATGATGATTCACTAGAGCCCAGGGCACAAACTGAAGGCATTGAATAACCATGAAGGCATTAACCTGCAGCAAGTCAGCAACATAGATCTGACCCTGGAAAAGTGACTGATCTGTGCCAAAGGCTGGCTGAATTGGGACCAAGGCTGCCAGGCTTGCAAGTGGCCTGCTCTTTGCTGCATAGCTCGCCTTATTTTATCAATTTGAAACACATACCTTGGGTTTTATATGTACCTGGCCTGGCAGGGTGTGATCCAGCTGAATGCCTCAGCATTTGCTTATTCATTTACTTTAAGTTAGGTGTCAGTGCAAGCTGTCTGAAGAGAGGAGTGCCCGCACCTTAGCCTCTGGTTTGGCCTCAATGAATCCAACTCGATTTTCTTTGCTGCTTGAAGGAAGTCTTCAGATTAAAGAAAGCAAGCTGAGCTCATCTTGACTCTCAACATCGCTTGTGTTGACAAAGAAAAAGAAAAAAAATTACCAGCCATGAATTAACAATTTATGAGTCATGCAGATTAGAAGGTTTTTGTAGCTGTGTCTTTTTAAAACATAAGACATAAGCTTGAAAACAACAGGACAAGTTTAAATAGTTACAACACAGAATTTGGAGTTGGGACTTTGACATTCTTCTGGTTATTTTAAGTCTCTCTGTGCCTCAGTTTCATTTTCTCAAATGGAAACAATAATCTCATACGCACTCTGCTAAAGGAGTCTTTATTGGATGGTGTTTTTAGAAATGAAAAACTGCTGCTGTTGCTATTACTATGACTAAGAGAGTGCCATTTCTTTGCAATTAATGGCTGGATGGAAGGTCCAAGGTTAAAGAGAAAATTCTTAACCAGTTGAAATTTGCATTATTATGACTAACCCAGAGACAATTAATAATACTTCTGGTTTTTTCACACATGTATTTCTTCCCCTTCCTACCCCTTATGTAATCTAGGGCACTTGGAAAAAAGCACAGATGGAAAAATTGGAGTGCAATTAAACAAACATTCTAGCCTAGTCTAAAAATGCCAGATAATATATTTCAAATAAAAAAATCAGAATATTAGACATGATTCAGTAGGAGTGAGGATGCCTAGAAAACAAAACTGAGTAGTGACCTCACATAGTATGGTGGCAGCAACTAATACTGAAATCTCTCATGCAAAAATAAACCTGCAGATGTTAAAAGATGTGTAGATGTGGTATTTGGTACATGGCTTAGCAGCAGTGCTGAGTTAATGGTTGAACACTATGATCTTAAAGGTCTTTCCCAACCTAAATGATGCAATGGTTCTATATCTGTATAAATGACATTTTCATTATTATTAGAAACCATGAGACTTATGAATCTGTAATGATGCTGAATTTGTGCTAGGCATTTCCTGGTGCTGGATGGCAGACTAAGCAAAGACCATTCTTACCCTTTGAATGTTCGTTTTAACAAATGATCTTCATTCAGTACTTCTTAAAGGGAAAAAAAAAAAAAAAAAAAAAAAAAAAAAGGTAAGCATTGTGACAGCAATTTTACCAGGAGGAAAGCAGCTTTGGAAAGTGAAACAAGCTGCCTCAGGTCACACAAAAAGGCACCTGCAGATCTAGTAATAGCATTCACATTGCTCAACTCCCAATATAGCAACCAATGCAAAGACTGTGCCATCTTGCAGAACTCATGCCTTGAGTGCTTCTATAAGCACCTCCAGGACCTGCTTCCTCTGTCACAGCATCCAGGTTTGCTTAACAGTGGTATCTCAAATCATCTTTGCTGTAGCTACTTGGTTTATAAATTGCAGGGATAAAAATTAATAAAGCACTATACATGTCCTTCCATTTGAAAAAGCAGCTTAGGTCAAAAGAATATGGTTAAATGGAATGGTAGAATATTGATAATATTTTTCTATTTCTTCTGTTTATTTACCTATCTTCAGGATTTTCATTATGCCTTGTGAAAAGGGAGCTTGTCTGCACCTATATCTTCTGGGTCCTACTGCAACACAGATAAAGAAGCATTATAAAACTCTCATCTTGTATAAATATGAACAAGTTCACCTTCATTAGATTGGAAGGTGTCTGCCCCTGGTAATCTGTTTGAATATAAGTTATTTCTGCTCTTTCCTCCACTGCTCTGAAGATGTCAGCCCTAGGGACGTGGCAACTGAACATATTTCTTGGCACCTCAATAGGTGTATTAATTCTCTGACTTCTGACCTGGTGTTTCTGAACATGGCTGAGGTGAGCAGTAATTCCCCCATAAACACTCCAGTGTCAGGGAGGTTTAATTGCTTGGCATCATGAGAAAGTATTTGGTAGTTCAATGACAAAAGGTCTTAGAGAATGTGAAATGAGAGCTGACAATTCTCCCTTGCTGCTTCTGCATGCTCTCTTCCAT